CTGTAAAACCTTACATATTACCATTGTAGAATCTCCCAAACCCTTCATTTAAACATGCACCATTGCTTGCTGGTCCTTTTTGTCCCATTTTTTGCTTCCATAGTGCTATTTTCCCAACTACCGTTACCCTTAAGATTCCTGACTGCCCAGCCCCTTTATACCAAAAGCTTTCTTTGACATTCTTCTCTTTCCATGCCTTCCTGCCTTTCCACATACCCAGTACAAAGCCTGAAGATGCTTTCACAGAGAAGCCTTAAATTATCCCAGCATACTTTATTGCACCCACACCTTTTCACTTCAAAAACCTTTTTGTCACCCTTGTCCAATATTCGTACCCTATTTTCTTCTATATTCTCAATTCTTCTGCTCCATATATACTTGTTTTCTGTGGTATCATTTTTCCCTCCTCCATTTCACTTAGATCCTATATTTTTTTACCCTATCTTACCCTTTTTGTTTGGTGCCTTCCTCCAAAGCCAAGGTTTCTGTCGTTCATCAGTCATCCTTCCACCTTTCACTCTTAAACTCTCTGGTAATTCTGTTTTTTCCTCCTTCTCAAAAAGCTCACACTCTGCTAATGTGTATATATTGTTCACTTGAGTGCTTCTAAATAAATATTTACTTTTCAAAAGAGTGAAATCTGAACTATTAGCATGGAAACAACCTCTGGGAAGACAAGATCTCCACTCAAAAGCTTCAAATTGAGATTCTCCTGCTCATGTTGAATGATGGTTTTATCTAATATTTTCTGAAATAGGGTGACTACTTGAACTACACAAAATTGTGAAATGAGAATATCTTTGATTTTATACTTTGTTTTTTCTTTTTTTGAGATGAAGTCTTACTCTGTCACCTAGGCTGGAGTGCAGTGGCACAATCTCGGCTCATTGCAACCTCTGCCTCCCAGGTTCAGGTGATTCTCGTCCCTTGGCCTCCCGAGTAGCTGGGATTACAGGCGTGTGCCACCATGCCTGGCTAATTTTTGCATTTTTTGGTAGAGATGGGGTTTCACCATGTTGGCCAGGCTGGTCTTGAACTCCTGACCTCAAGTGATCCACCCACCTTAGCCTCCCAAAGTGTTGGGATTACAGGCATGAGCCACTGTGCCTGACCACTTACATCTATTTTGATTGACTTGAAATAAAATTTAACACCCCAGGGAAGGCAATTCTCATGTGTTTTGAATTATACTGAGCATTAATTCTTCAGGATAATTATAGACTTGGAAATGTTTAATCCAGTCTCCTAGTCCATGCTGAAGCTCCTTTAAGTGATAGGAGGAACTCATAATCTACAAGGCAACCCAATCCATTTGTTGCTATATCAATTGTTATAAAGCTCATCCTTGGGTTAAAATTGGCTGTTTATAGTTGTATTTAATGACCTTAATTCTGCCCTCAAGCTATACAAAATGTGGATCTCTTTTCTACATGATAACCTTTTAGATATCAGTCTATCCTCCCTACCCTTCCCCTCACAATTTTTCCACCCTTTGCGATAAATATCCTTTGCTATTCTAACTATTTCTCATATGATATCATTTTTATCATCCCAATTGCTCCCTAAGGACATTAAACTTTGTTAATGTCCTTTCCAAAATGTATTTGGAACTGGAAATAATATCCCTTGGTAGCTGAATTGGATCTGGATGTTGCACATCTGGACACTAATGCAGCCTGAAGTTGCTGTAAGTTTTTTAGTCAACTTGTAATGTTGGCTCATGATGAATTTGTAATTAATTAAAATTCCAAGGTTTAATCTGGAGGATTGCCTTTATGTGATTTTTTCTTAAACCAAGTCTCCATTTTCTTTTAGTTATGCAACAGATTTTTTTTTTTTTTTTTTTTTTTTTGAGACGCTCGCTCTGTCACCCAGGCTGGGGTGCAGTGGCACGATCTCAGCTCACTGCAACCTCCACCTCCTGGGTTCAAGCAATTCTCCTGCCTCAGCCTCCCGAGTAGCTGCGATTACAGGAGTCTGCCACCACGCCTGGCTAATTTTCTTTGTTTCTTTTTTTTTTTTTTTTAAAGTAGAGATGGGGTTTCTCCATGTTGGTCAGGCTGGTCTTGAACTTCTGACCTCAGGTGACCCACCCTCCTTGGCCTCACAAAGTCCCGGGATTATAGGCATGAGCCATTGCACCCGGCCCTTTTTTTTTTCTTTCTTTCTTTTTTTGAGATGGAGCCTCACTCTGTTGCCCAGGATGGAGTGCAGTGACATGATCTTGGCTCACTGCAACCTCCGCTGCCCGGGTTCAAGGGATTCTTCTGTCTCAGCCTCCCGAGTAGCTGGGATTACAGGTACCTGCCACCACGCCTGGCTAATTTTTGTATTTTTAGTAGAGATAGGGGTTTCACCATGTTGGCCAGGCTGGTCTCAAACTCCTGACCTCAAGTTATCCGGCTGCCTTGGCCTCCCAAAGTGCTGAGATTATAGGCATGAGTCACTGCACCCGGCCTATGCACCAGATATTTTTAAAAAACCAGATGTAAGACTTTACACTTACCCCTATTAAATGTTATCTCATTAGCCTATCAGGTAGCTTTGGTTTTTTACTTTTATTTTATTTATTTATTTATTTTTTTGAGACAAGAGTTTCGCTCTTGTTGCCCAGGCTGGAATGCAATGGTGCGATCTCCGCTCACTGCAACCTCCGCCTCCTGGGTTCAAGTGATTCTCCTGCCTCAGCCTCCCAAGTAGCTGGGATTACAGGCATGTGCCACCACGCCTGGCTAATTTTGTGTTTTTTAGTAGAGACGGTTTCACCATGTTGGTCTAGCTGGTCTCGAACTCCCGACCTCAGGTGATTTGCCCACCTTGGCTTCCCAAAGTGCTGGGATTACAGGCGTGAGCCACTATGACCGACTGGTTTTTTTCTTAAGACTAGTCAAGTGCAGAGTGAGAAGAGGGAAAAGAGTAGAACAAGGGGTTTGATCAGCCTTGGTTTCTTTGAATCTTGATTTTTGTCATTCGGTTTATTATGCTGATTCAACAGAGGGCCCTGAAGCTAATGTTGGAATGTTTTCAGACATCTAGGAAATGATAATTCATCAAAAGTCATGGAGACTATTCCAAAAGTTTTATGCAGATATAACTCAGCTGTTGAGGTATGAGTTAATACCACTATAAGTTGACATGGCCAGGAAAGACAAGTCCATTGCCAACTTGCTTTGTGTTGAACATTACTCCAAAAGAGATTAAATTCTAAGACATATTGTGTCAACATAAAGGCAAAAGAGCTGGCTAATTCTTCTCAAGAAATCAATGGCTCGACCTTTTGGCTCATGCCTGTAATCCCAGCATTTTGGGAGGCCGAGGTGGGGGATCACCTGAGGTCGGGAGTTCAAGACCAACCTGACCAACCTGGAGAAACCCCGTCTCTGCTAAAAAATACAAAATTAGCTGGGCATGGTGGTGCATGTCTGTAATCCCAGCTACTTGAGAGGTTGAGGCAGGAGAATCGCTTGAACCCAGGAGGCAGAAGTTGCAGTGAGCCAAGATCACGCCATTGCACTCCAGCCGGGGCAACAAGAGCAAAACTCCATCTCAAAAAAAAAAAAAAAATCAATTAATGCACATATAATATAGAGACAGAGTCCTTGTTACCATTATTTTGCCTTTGACAAGTTTATATTGAGCACATTATCAGGCAATGTGGGAGATTCTGGAGAACCAGGTTTGCCTCATAGCTAGGGTTACCATATGCTCTAGTTTGCCTGGGGCAACCCTGATTTATGCCTGTTGTCCCAGTGTGATTATTGCTAGTGTGATTTTTCACTTTGAGAAGTGTCCAGGTTTGGAAGATAAATTATCTTGCTATCCTTCTCATAACCTAATGGGTTCTCTTTAGTATTTTATCTGGGTTAAAATTACACAGCTGTAATTTGGCAGCTCTAATAAGACTGCAACAATACTTATCTTCCATTTGAACAGATTGTTACTTGACCAAGGGGAAGTTTTGTTTTTGTTTTTTTTTTTTTGAGGCGGAGTCTCGCTCTGCCGCCCAGGATGGAGTGCAGTGTTGCGATCTCGGCTCACTGCAAGCTCGGCCTCCTGGGTTCACGCCATTCTCCTGCCTCAGCCTCCCCAGCAGCTGGGACTACAGGCGCCCACAACCATGCCCGGCTAATTTTTTGTATTTTTAGGTGAGACGGGGTTTCACCCTGTTAGCCAGGATGGTCTCAATCTCCTGACCTCGTGATCCGCCCGCCTCGGCCTCCCAAAGTGCTGGGATTACAGGCATGAGCCACTGCGCCTGGCTACCAAGGGCAGTTAATAGCAAAAGTAACTGCAGGGCACATGTATGTCATGGGCAAAAAAAAAAAAAAAAAAGCAATTAAGGTTTGCAGGTACTTAGAGTTTCTCCTGAGCCACTCTCTAGAGGGCAGTATTACATATATATCTGTAATTATCCAGTTACAACAAAAAAGGGGATCTGGTTCATGCATGAAAATCAGAAATATTTCATACTCTTAAAGAACACATTGGAACCAATATTATGATTAAAACATATTTTGCTAAGCAAAGAAATATTAAAATTAATTCATTAACATTCTGAACATTTTTTAATTTGTAAAAACTGAACTTTGATGCCTTGAATATATAATGATTCATTATAACAATTACGTACAGACTTTAATAATCTGCATATTTTATGCTTCTTTCATGTTTTTCCTAATTAATGATTTGACATGGTTAATAATTATAATATATTCTGCATCACAGTTTACATATTTATGTAAAATAAGCATTTAAAAATTATTAGTTTTATGCTGCCTGCTTAAATATTACTTTCCTCAAAAAGAGAAAACAAAAATGCTAGATTTTACTTTATGACTTGAATGATGTAATGTTAAACCCTAGTATTTAGAATTAGAATGTTTCTTAGCAGTTGTGTAGTTATTTTTATGTCATAAGTGATAATTTGTTAGCTCCTATAACAAAAGTCTATTGCTTGTGTTTCACATTTTGGATTTCCTAATATAATGTTCTCTTTTTAGAAAAGGTGGACAAGTCCTATTTTCAAGAGAAGATGACTTTTAACAGTTTTGAAGGATCTAAAACTTGTGTACCTGCAGACATCAATAAGGAAGAAGAATTTGTAGAAGAGTTTAATAGATTAAAAACTTTTGCAGATTTTCCAAGTAGTAGTCCTGTTTCAGCATCAACACTGGCACGAGCAGGGTTTCTTTATACTGGTGAAGGAGATACCGTGCGGTGCTTTAGTTGTCATGCAGCTGTAGATAGATGGCAATATGGAGACTCAGCAGTTGGAAGACACAGGAAAGTATCCCCAAATTGCAGATTTATCAATGGCTTTTATTTTGAAAATAGTGCCACGCAGTCTACAAATTCTGGTATCCAGAATGGTCAGTACAAAGTCGAAAACTATCTGGGAAGCAGAAATCATTTTGCCTTAGACAGGCCATCTGAGACACATGCAGACTATCTTTTGAGAACTGGGCAGGTTGTAGATATATCAGACACCATATACCCGAGGAACCCTGCCATGTATAGTGAAGAAGCTAGATTAAAGTCCTTTCAGAACTGGCCAGACTATGCTCACCTAACCCCAAGAGAGTTAGCAAGTGCTGGACTCTACTACACAGGTATTGGTGACCAAGTGCAGTGCTTTTGTTGTGGTGGAAAACTGAAAAATTGGGAACCTTGTGATCGTGCCTGGTCAGAACACAGGCGACACTTTCCTAATTGCTTCTTTGTTTTGGGCCGGAATCTTAATATTCGAAGTGAATCTGATGCTGTGAGTTCTGATAGGAATTTCCCAAATTCAACAAATCTTCCAAGAAATCCATCCATGGCAGATTATGAAGCACGGATCATTACTTTTGGGACATGGATATACTCAGTTAACAAGGAGCAGCTTGCAAGAGCTGGATTTTATGCTTTAGGTAAACTTTATTATAAAACCAATAAATAGCTTCCCAACTTTGCCAGGGCTCGTAAAAAGTAAATAGATGCCCTTAGCCCCCTGAACTGGTAAATATTTAGGTATAACTTGGCATGATTATATATATATCCGTATTATTCTGTGAACTCTTATGTTGAACCTGTAATGTAACTACTGAATTTATGTGAAAAAGACTACCATATTATGAGTCATGCTTCTCTTCATGTAATTGTTTTTAGGAAGTAGATAACTTGCAAAAGATGGTAGCATCCCCAATAGCAAAATGGGTCTAATAGTAATATTAACCATCATTTATTGAGCACTTACTGTAAGTAAATACATATACCTCATGCATTTTCTCTAAACTTCACAATAACTTCTTTTTGTTGTTTTTTTTTTGTTTTTTTTTTTGAGACGGAGTTTCGCTCTTGTTGTCCAGGCTGGAGCGCAATAGCGAGATTTAGGCTCGCTGCAACCTCTGCCTCCTGGGTTCAAGCGATTCTCCTGCCTTGGCCTCCTGAGTGACTGGGATTACAGGCATGTGCTACCACGCCTGGCTAATTTTGTATTTTTAGTAGAGACAGGGTTTCTCCCTGTTGGTCAAGCTGGTCTCAAATTCCTGACCTCAGGTGATCCACCTGCCTTGGCCTCCCAAAGTGCTGGGATTACAGGTGCATGCGCCACGCCTGGCTAATTTTTGTACTTTTAGTAGAGACGGGGTTTCACCATGGCCAGGCTGGTCTCAAACTCCTGACCTTGTGATCCACCCACCTTGGCCTCCCAAAGTGCTGGGATTACAGGCATGAGCCACCGCGCTTGGCCATATGAGTGCTTTCAAATGGACTGTGGTAGACATGTCAGGAAGGGCCGTTGGAGTGATTGCTTCTAAAGATATTTTTTAAAATTATACCATTATATATTTGACCCATTTATTTTAAGATTGAATAATGCCTATAAAATATTGGTTATTTCAAAAGATTTTATTTATGTACCATCATATAGTAATCTTGAAGGTTTGTTTAGTGTCATGTTGCTATAAACTTAGAGAAACTTGTCTCATAATTTCATTATGTAGAACTTTAATGTTACTAATACTTGGAACATAACATCAGTTTTAAAGTTTCACAGTTTGAAACAGTAAGTACAATATTGGTGGCCCAAATAACATACTAAAAAGACAGTATGGCTGGGCTCAGTGGCTCACGCCTGTAATCCCAGCACTTTGGGAGGCTGAGGTGGGTGGATCACCTGAGGTCAGGAGCTCAAGACCAGCCTGGCCAACATGGCGAAACCCCGTCTCTACTAAAAATACAAAAATTACCTGAACGTGGTGGCACGTGCCTGTAATCCTAGCTACTCGGGAGGCTAAGGCAGGAGAATCACTTGAACCCAGGAGGCAGAGGTTGCAGTGAGCCGAGATCAAGCCATTGCACTCCCGCCTGTGCAACAAGAGTAAAACTCCATCTCAGAAAAAAAATAGTAATAATAATAAATAAATAAATAAATAAATGAAAATAAAGTATGCCAGGCGCAGTGGCTCACGCCTGTAATCCCAGCACTTTGGGAGGCCGAGGCGGGTGGATCACTTGAGGTCAGGAGTTCAAGATCAGGCTGGCCAACATGGTGAAACCCCATCTCTACCAAAGATATAAAAAATTAGCCAGGTATGGTGGCGCATGCCTGTAATCCCAGCTACTTGAGAGGCTGAGGCAGGAGAATCGCTTGAACTCGGGAGGCAAAGGTTGCAGTGAGCCAAGACTGAGCCATTGCACTCCAGTCTGGGGAACAGAGCAAGACTCAGTCTCAAAAAAAAAATAAAAAATAACAATTTTAGTTTTTAACATAAAACTTGGCAGTTTTATTTTTGTCTTCTGTAAAAAATACCTCAGATTGAATCAGTGAATTTAGTGTGTATTTCTTCCTCAAAGGATAAAGATCATATCTGTTACTTAGATGTGAATTTGAATGTCTTGTTTTAAGCTGCGAGATTTTCATGTTTTTCAGATGTGCTTAATTTTTAGGTGTTAAATGAATATTTTTGTGTAAGCTTCTAATTGCACAAATACATATATTCCTGTGTGTTTTCGTAGGTGAAGGTGATAAAGTAAAGTGCTTTCACTGTGGAGGAGGGCTAACTGATTGGAAGCCCAGTGAAGACCCTTGGGAGCAACATGCTAAATGGTATCCAGGGTAAGATATTTAATTGTTCATTGTACAGGCAAGTTGGATAGCATGCAGTGGGAGACTTGAATTACTTTTTACCTCAACTATTTTTGCCTTCACTATGGCTTGAAATTCATGCTAGGTTTATAAAAATGAGGAAGGTTTATAAGCCTTCTCTGATGACCAAAACATTCACTGTTCATGTGTCATATCTATGACATTCAGAATATCCCATTTCTTTTCTTTTTTTTTTTTTTTTTTTAACACAGAGTTTCACTCTCTTGCCTAGGCTGGAGTGCAGTGGTGCAATCTTGGCTCACTGCACGCTCCGCCTCCCAGGTTCAAGCGATTTTTGTGCCTCAGCCTCTTGAGTAGCTGGAATTACAGGCACCCGCCACTGCCACCATGCCTGGCTAATTTTTTTTTTTTTTTTTGATATGGAGTCTCACTCTGTTGCCAGGCTGGAATGCAGTGGTGCGATTTTGGCTCACTGCAACCTCCGCCTCCCGGGTTCAAGCGATTCTCCTGCCTCAGCCTCCCGAGTAGCTGGGACTACAGGTAAGTGCCACCATGCCCAGCTAATTTTTTGTATTTTTAGTAGAGACAGGGCTTCACCATGTTGGCCAGGATGGTCTTGATCTCCTGACCTTGTGATCTGCCCACCTCGGCCTCCCAAAGTGCTGGGATTCTGGCTGATTTTTGTATTTTTTAGTAAAGACAGGGTATCACCATGTTGGCCAGGCTGGTCTTGAACTCCTGACCTCAGATGATTGGCCTGCCTCGGCCTCCCAAAGTGCTGGGATTACAGGTGTGAACCACTGTGCCTGGCCTCTAGATTATCCCATTTCTTTTTCTTTTTTTTTTTTTTGAAACAAGAGTTTTGCTCTTGTCGCCCAGGCTGGAGTGCAGTGGTGCTATCTCAGCTCACTGCAATCTCTGCCTCCTGGGTTCAAGTGATTCTCCTGCCTCGGCCTCCCGAGTAGCTGGGATTACAGGTGCCCGCCACCACGCCCGGCTAATTTTTTGTATTTTTAGTAGAGACGGGGTTTCACCATGTTGGTCAGGCTGGTCTTGAACTCCCAACCTCAGGTTATCCACCCGCCTCAGCCTCCCAAAGTGCTGGGTTTACAAGCATGAGCCACCGTGCTTGGCCTCTAGATTATCCAATTTTTAAATACAAATTAGAAAATGTGTGCTTTTTTATTGTTGGAAGTAGGCTCTTTTATGATCAGCATGAGAGCCCATATTGCCAAGGAGATTCCTTAAGAAATCATCATACCCCTAGGAAATATTAGCGTATCTCATTATCTCTATGACATACAATTGTTCACATTTTGAGATCTCTGGTTGGGGTGTGGTGGCTCGCGCCTGTAATCCCAGCACTTTGGGAGGATGAGGCGGGTGGATTGCTGGAGCCCAAGAGTTCGAGACCAGCCTGGGCAACATAGTGAGACCCTGTCTCTACAAAAAAATATGAAAAACAATTAGCCAGTCATGGTGGCACACACCTGTAGTTCCAGTTACTCATGAGACTGAGGTAAGAGGATCACTTGAGCTGGGGAGGCAGAGGTTGTAGTGAGCTGACGCCACTGCACTCGGTGCCACTGCACTCCAGCCTGGGCAACAGAGTGAGACCCTGTCTCAAAAAAAAAAAAAAACAAAAAACGAAAACAAACAAACAAAAAAAACAGCCGGGCATGGTGGCTTACGCCTGTAATCCCAGCACTTTGGGAGGCCAAGGTGGGTGGATCACCTGAGGTCGGGGGTTTGAGACCAGCCTGAACAACATGGAGAAACCCTGTCTCTACTAAAAATACAAAATTAGCCGAGCGTGGTAGCGCATGCCTGTAATCCCAGGTATTCGGGAGGCAGAGGTTGCAGTGAGCCAAGATCGTGCCATTGCACTCCAGCCTGGGCAACAAGAGTGAAGCTCCGTCTCAAAAAAATAAAAATAAAAACCCAAACTTCAGAGCGATCATTTGAAAAGAAATCTTAGCCTTAAACAACTTTAAAAATAAATATTGAAAAGCCTAAAGAATTCCATTTAAATGGGCAATTGGTTAATTCTTTAAATAAAACCTGTTAAGATGGGCGTGGTGGCTCATGCCTACAATCCCAGCACTTTGGGAGACTGAGGCAGGCAGATCACTTGAGGTGAGGAGTTTGAGACCAGCCTGGCCAATATGGTGAAACCCTGTCTCTACTGAAAATACAAAAATTAGCTGGGCGTAGTGGTGCATGCCTGTAATCCCAGCTACTCAGGAGGCTAAGGCAGGAGAATTGCTTGAACCCCGGGAGGCGGATGTTGCAGTGAGCCAAGATCATGCCACTGCACTCCAACCTGGGTGACAGAGCGAGACTCTGTCTCAAAAAAAAAAAAAAGTCAAGGTGCTAATTTAATAACTTGTTTTAGAAAGTTCTCAAGTTGATATTTTTTGCTCTACTAACATTAGCATAGGTAACATAACAAAGGGAACTTTTTTAACCTTAAAATGACAGTGGGATAGGGAATTGGGTAACATTTTACTTTGTGGCTCCTTAGAAGTACTGAAAAGCAAGTTAATGGAATTAATAGAATTAATATGATGGAGATTATATCTTTGCTTGTACTTCACTAATTTATCAGCTACTAAAGTTTAACCTTTTAATTGTTTAGGTGTAAATATCTGTTAGAACAGAAGGGACAAGAATATATAAACAATATTCATTTAACCCATTCACTTGAGGAATGTCTGGTAAGTCTCATTATATAATTTATATTTTCAAATTTATATTTCAAATTATATTTTCATTATGTAATTTATATTATATCATTTGTTTATAGTTATTTCTTCATGCAAAATTCTCAGTATAGTATTATAAATCAATATATGTATACATTACATGAAAACACAAATTTTAAGTTAAAAACAAAATAATAAATGTATGATGGGCTTTAAGAGTGAGAGCTAGCCAGGCACAGTGTTTCACACCTGTAATTCTAATATTTTGAGAGGCCAAGGCGAGAGGATCACTTGAACCCAGGAGTTTGAGATCAGCCTAGACAACATAGTGAGACCCTGTCTCTACAAAAAATTTTAAAAACCAATTAGCCAGACTTTTGGTACATGCCTGTAGTCCCAGCTACTTGGGAGGCTGAGGCAGGAGGATCGCTTGAGCTCAAAAGGTCAGAGGATTCAGTGAGCCATGTTCATTCCACTGTACTCCAGCCTGAGTGAGAAAGGGAAACCCTCTCTCTTAAAAAAAAAAAAAAAAAAAAGAGAGAGAGAGAGAGCCTAAAAAGTGTTTCTTATTCTTTACCTGAAGTAAATTTGTGAAAAGATAATCAGGATGAACTGATTTAAGTATCACTGTAGGCAAAAATGGGCTTGAAGAACTAAAATACTAAAAGTCCCTTAGCCTTCTGAAATTAGATCTTTGTATAATGTGCTTTGTACTCAAAAGTAGTTTTAAACTTTTTGCAGACATTATTTAAAATCTTAAAAATATATCTAAATTGATAGGATGGGTGCTGGGTGCAGCGGCTCACACCTGTAATCCCAGCACTTTGGGAGGCTGAGGCGGATGAATCACCTGAGGTCAGGAGTTCGAGACCAGCTTGGCCAACATCATGAAACCCCATCTCTACTAAAAATACAAAAAATTAGCCAGGCACGATGGCGCGCACCTGTAATCTCAGCTACTGGGGAGACTGGGGCAGGAGAATTGCTTGAACCTGGGAGGCTGAGGTTACAGTGAGCTGAGATCGTGCCACTGCACTCCAGCCTGGGCAACAAGAGTGACACTCCGTCTCAAAAATAAAAAATAAATAAATAAACAAATAAATAAATAAATTGATAGGATGAACTGAGGTGGCCAAGGCATCAGTAATAGGTGGAAAGAACCCTGGACTAAAATGGGAGACTAGAGTTCCCCCAATGACTCTACCCTGAAGTCATTCGTTCTCCCTGGGCCTCAACTTCTTGTTTGTAAAATGAAGGGATTAGATTAGATATCTTATAACTTCCTTCTAGCTCCATCAGGCTATGCCTCTTGTGAATATTCATATATTGAATTGAAATAAAGCCAATTTATTTTAAATTTATGATTAATTTAACTTTTCAAATGGAAATGATTGCCTCTACCAAAAATAATTCTAACTTACAATTCCTATTTCTGTTACAGGTAAGAACTACTGAGAAAACACCATCACTAACTAGAAGAATTGGTAAATATGCTTGTTAAATTAACTATCCTTTTATTTTTATTTTATTTTTTTTTTAAATTTTTTTTTTTTTTTTTTTTGAGACGGAGTCTTGCTCTGTCGCCCAGGCTGGGGTGCAGTGGCCGGATCTCAGCTCACTGCAAGCTCCACCTCCCGGGTTTACGCCATTCTCCTGCCTCAGCCTCCTGAGTAGCTGGGACTACAGGCGCCCGCCACCTCGCCCGGCTAGTTTTTTGTATTTTTTAGTAGAGATGGGGTTTCACCGTGTTAGCCAGGATGGTCTCGATCTCCTGACCTCATGATCCACCCGTCTCGGCCTCCCAAAGTGCTGGGATTACAGGCTTGAGCCACCGCGCCCGGCCAGATTTTATTTTATTTATTTATTTATTTTTTTGAGACGGAGTCTCGCTCTGTCACCCAGGCTGGAGTGCAGTGGCCGGATCTCAGCTCACTGCAAGCTCCGCCTCCAGGGTTTACGCCATTCTCCTGCCTCAGCCTCCCGAGTAGCTGGGACTACAGGCGCCCGCCACCTCGCCCGGCTAGTTTTTTGTATTTTTTTAGTAGAGACGGGGTTTCACCGTGTTAGCCAGGATGGTCTCGATCTCCTGACCTCGTGATCCGCCCATCTCGGCCTCCCAAAGTGCTGGGATTACAGGCTTGAGCCACCGCGCCCGGCCCAACTATCCTTTTAATTTAACTGCTAATTTATCATACTTGTCATTTATAGGGTAGAAAGATAAGCATGTTCTTCCAAGGTCACCATGATATATTTATTTGAGATGACGTTACTATAAATTTAAGAATTTAGGCGGCCGGGCGTGGTGGCTCACGCCTGTAATCCCAGCACTTTGGGAGGCCGAGGTAGGCGAATCACAACGTCAGGAGATCGAGACCATCCTGGCTACATGGTGAAACTCCGTCTCTACTAAAAATTTAAAAAAAAAATTAGCTGGATGTAGTGGTGCACACCTGTAGTCCCAGGTACTTGGGAGGCTGAGGCAGGAGAATCGCTTGAACCCGGGAGGTGGAGGTTGCAATGAGCCAAGATCGTGCCACTGCACTCAAGCCTGGCAACAGAGCGAGATTCCGTCTCCAAAAACAAAAACAAAAGCAAAAAATAATTTAATAAAGTACTTATAAATTGCAGTCAGAGGCTGGGTGCAGTGGCTGACACCTGTAATCCCAGCACTTTGGGAGGCCGAGGAGTTCAAGACCATCCTAGCCAACATGGCGAAACCCTAAAAATACAAAAATTAGCTGGGCGTGATAGTGTGCGCCTGTAGTCCCAGCTACTCGGAAGGCTGAGGCAGGATAATCACTTGAACCTGGGCGGTGGAGGTTGCAGTCAGCTGAGATCATGTCAGTGCACTCTAACCTGGGCAACAGAGCAAGACTCCATCTCAAAAAGAAAAGAAAAAAAATCAGTCAGACGTGTCTGTATTAAAAATGTTAGTAGGCCATCAGATAGTTTTTCCAAGTTCAGGAGGAACACTGATAGGCTACTTCATTGCCATTTCTGCTAAAATCACAAGAGAAAGGGTGAAGTGTCTTTTTGTACCTAGGGTTCCTTAAGTAAGCCAGAATTATTTCACTTTTCTACTGGTGTGCCATTACCATGATAAGCCCTAACCCATCTGCTTCTTTATCCCATACTGTCATTGTACCTTCCCCAGCTTCTTCACAGAGGTGTAAGATTTGTTTTGTTTACCTCCTGTTACTTCATGGAGAAGTAGAGGTTTTAAAACTCAAAAAGTGGGCAGAGAAAGATATTATGCTAAGGAAGGAAGATAATTGTTATCCCCACTTTTCAGATGAAGAAACAGTCGGAGAGGTTAAGTGACTTGCGCACAGTCACATTACAAATCATTAGTGGAACTAGGACGGCAAGCAGGGTCTTCTGAATCCTACATCACACTGCAAATCTCATTTTCAACTTAGGCATCATATTTCAAAAGTAGTAGAAAGTTTAATTTAGAGTATGTCTAGTGATTCCCCACTTCCTAAATTGGTAGCATCATCTATTTAGTATCTTAAGAATTACAAGGGGCTGGGTGCGGTGGCTCACGCCTGTAATCCCAGCACTTTGAGAGGCTGAGGCAGGTGTATCACCTGAGGTCAGGAGTTCGAGACCAGACTGACCAACTTGGCAAAACTCCATCTCTACTAAAAATACAAAGTTAGCCGGGCTTGGTGGTGCATGCCTGTACTTGGGAGGCTGAGGCAGGAGAATTGCTTGAATCCAGGAGGCGGTGGTTGCAGTTAGCCGAGATCGCACCATTGCACTCCAACCTGGGCAACAAGAGCGAAAACTCTGTCTCAAAAAAAAAAGAGAATAGAATTATAACGCAAGACAGTAATGTATAGGTATTCATAAGTATTCTTGAGAGGGAGAGCTAGTTTAATATTATTTGATATGGGTTTTGTAATGGGCATAAACAATACAACCTAAGAAATCATTTAGTCTAGCCTATATTGTTAAAGTTACTAAGAAACAAAGATACTATAGCACTTTCTTTTTTTTTTTTTTTTTTTTTTTTTGAGACGTAGTCTCACTGTGTTGCCTGGACTAGAGTGCAGTGGCTATTCATAGGCATGATCATAGCTCATTGCAGCCTCAAACTCCTGGGCTCAAGTCATCCTCCTGTCTCAGCCTCCTGAGTAGCTAGAACTACAGATGTGTGCCACTACATCCAGCTTCTATAACATTTCTTGATAATATTCTATGGTATTTAATCATTGTTACGATGCATATTAATCTTTTTATGACTGATGAGGCTCTGGTTTAGGGTTAACGTTTTAAAATTGAAATATAATTCACATATAAATTTCATCCTATAAAGTGTACAATTTAGGGTTTTTTTAGTATATTCACAAGGTTGGGCAACCATTACTACTCTTTTTGTTATATATAAAAAATAATAAATTCAGCTGGGTGCGGTGACTCACTCTTGTAATCCCAGCACTTTGGGAGGCCGAGGTGGGCAGATCACTTGAGGTCAGGAGTTCAAGACCAGCCTGGCCAACATGGTGAATCCCCATCTGTACTAAAAATACAAAAATTGCCAGGTGCAGTGGCTCACGCCTGTAATCCCAGCACTTTGGGAGGCCGAGGCGGGTGGATCACCTGAGGTCTGGAGTTCGAGAACAGCCTGGCCAACATGGTGAAACTCCATCTCTACTAAAAATACAAAATTAGCTGAGCATGGTGCTGCACACCTGTAATCCCAGCTATTCAGGAGTCTGAGGCAGGAGAATTGCTTGAACCTGGGAGGCAGAGGGTTGCAGTGAGCCGAGACCACGCCATTGCACTCCAGCCTGGGCAAAAAGGAGCAAAACTCTGCCTCAAAAAAAAGAAAAATACAAAAATTACTGGGGCGTGGTGGCACACACCTTTAGTCCCAGCTACTCGGGAGGCTGAGACATAAAAATTGCTTGAACCTGGGAGGCGGAGGTTTCTGTGAGCTGAGATCGTGCTACTGCACTCCAGCCTGGGTGATGGACCGAGATTCTATCTCAAAAATAAGTAAATAAATAAATAAAACATAAATTCAGCTCCATGACTACTCCTGCAGAGCAGGGCTCCTCCCTGCGCAGTGAGTGGCATTACTACTATTTAATTGCAGAACACTGTCATTACCCCAACAAGAAACTCCATACTCACCCATGAACAGTCATTCTCCATTGCCCACCCTACCCCTAGGCCAAGGCAAACAGTAATCTATTTTCTGTCTCTATGGTTTTGCCTATTTTGGACATTTAATATAAATGGAATAATGTAATATGTGTCTTCAAGGTGCATCCATGTTGTAGCATATATGAGTATTTCATTCTTTTTTATTGTAGAAAAAGAATCCATTATATAAATAATACCACATTTTGTTTATCTATTTCTCAGTTGACATTTGGCTTGTTTCTACTTTTTGACTATTATGAATGATGGTTCTACGAACATTTATGTATAAAAGTTTTTGTATAGACATGTTATATACCCAATTCTCTTGGGTATATATCCAGGGATGGAATTGCTGGGTCATGTGGTTATTCTATATTTAACCTTTTGATAAACTACCAGACAGATTTCCAAAGTGACTGCACCCTTTGACTTTCCTACCAGCAGTGTATGAGGATTTCATTTTCTCTACATTCATTATCTGTCTTATTTATCACAGCCATTCTAGTGGATGTGACGTGGTATCTCATTGTGGTTTTGTTTTGCATTTCCCTGATGATTAATGATATTGAGCATCTTTTCATGTGCTTATTGTCCATTTGTAAATCTTTGTAGAAATGTCTGTTCATCTCCTTTGACTTTTTTTTTTTTTTTTTTTTTTTTTTCCGAGATGGAATCTTGCTCTGTTGCCTAGGCTGGAGTGCAGTGGTACGATCTCGGCTCACTGCAACCTCTGCCTCCTGGGTTCAAGCGATCCTCCTGCCTCAGCCTCCCTAGTAGCTGGGATTACAGGTGCTCACCACCACACCAGGCTAATTTTTGCGTTTTTAGTAGGGACGGGGTTTTGCCATGTTAGCCACGCTGGTCTTGAACTCCTGACCTCAGGTGATCCACCCACCTTGGCCTCCCAAAGTGCTGGGATTACAGGTGTGAGCCACCATGCCTGGCCCATTTTTTATTTTCTTTTTTCTTTTTTTTTTGAGACAGGGTCTTGCTCAGTCACCCAGGCTGGAGTACAGTAGTACAGTCACGCTCACTGTGGCCTCGACCTCCCTGGCTCAAGCAATTCTGCTGCCTCAGTCTTCTGCGTAGCTGGGACTACAGGTGTGCGCCACCACACCCAGTTAATTTTTGTATTTTTTATAGAGAGAAAGTTTCGCCATTGTTGCCCTGGCTGGTCTCAAACTCCTGGAATTAAACAATCTGCCTCCCTCGGCCTCCCAAAGTGCTGGGATTACAGGTGTGATCCACTGTGCCCAGCCTTGACCATTTTTTATTTGGGTTGTCCTTCTTTTTCTACTGAACAGTCTGGGGAGATGGGTTACCTTTTTGTTACTGAGTTAAAAGAGATCATTATATATTACAGTTCTTTTTTTTTGGCCTCTTTTACTTTCTAAATGAAGATTATAGTTATTTATATATATAAGTCCCTGTCAGATTTATGATTTGCAAGTATTTTCTCCCATTCTGTGGGTTTCCTTTTTTTTTTCCCCCCAAGATGGAGTCTTGCTCTGTTGCCCAGTCTGGAGTGCAGTGGTACGATCTCTGTTCATTGCAACCTCCGCCTCCTGGGCTCAAGCAATTCTGCCTCAGCCTCCCGAGTAGCTGGGATTACAGGTGTGCAGCACCATGGCTGGCTAATTTTTGTTGTTGTTTTTTTAGTGGAGATGGGGTTTCACCATGTTGTCCAGGCTGGTCTCAAACTCCTGACCTCATGATCCACCCACCTCAGCCTCCCAAAGTGCTGGAATTACAGGCGTGAGCCACTGCACCTGGCCACCTTTTTCACTTTCTTGTTGGCATTCTTTGAAGCATAACGTCTTTAATTTTTTTTTTTTTTGAGACGGAGTTTTGCTCTTGTTACCCAGGCTAGAGTGCAATGGCACGATCTTGGCTTTCCGCAACCTCTGCCTCCTAGGTTCAAGCAATTCTCCTGCCTCAGCCTCCTGAGTAGCTGGAATTACAGGCGTGCACCACCACGCCCGGCTAATTTTGTATTTTTAGTAGAGACAGGATTTCTCCATGTTGAGGCTGATCTCGAACTCCTGACCTCAGGTGATCCACCTGCCTCAGCCTTCCAAAGTGCTGGGATTACAGGCGTGAGCTGCTGTGCCCGGCCAAACGTTTTTAATTTTTATGAAATCCAATTTATCTGTTTTTTTGTGTGTGTTGCTCATGCTGTTAATGTCATATTTAAAAAACCATTGCCTAATCCAGGGTCACCAAGGTTTATACCTATGTTTTCTTCTAAGAGTTTTATGGTGTTATATCTTACATTCTGGTCTTTGATCCATTTTGAGTTAATTTTTGTATATGGTATGAGGTAGGGGTCCATGTCCTTCCTTTTTGTTTTTAGCAAGTTGAGTTTGAGATACCTGCAGGACATTGAAGTAGGAGGATAATAAAACCTGTATAAATGAGAGTAAGATGGTGCTGGTAGGGGAAGTGTCTGGAAAGACCTTTTTTTTTTTTTCTTTTGAGGCAGAGTCTCGCTCTATCACCCAGGCTGGAGTGCAGTGGCGCAATCTTGGCTCACTGCAACCTCCGCTTCCCGGGTTCAAGGGATTCTCCTGCATCAGCCTCCCGAGCAGCTGGGACTACAGGCACATGCTACTGCACCCAGCTAATTTTTGTATTTTTAGTAGAGACAGGGTTTTTTTTTGCCATGTTGGCCAGGCTGATCTTGAACTCCTGACCTCAGGTGATCCACCCACCTCGGCCTCCCAAGGTGCTGGGATTATAGGCGTGAGCCACTGCACCTGGCTGGAAAGACCATTTTTAAGAAGGGTCGATGAGGGATTCGAAGGGAACCACCAACATCTCATTAGATGGGCACAAGTAAAGGAGCAACAAAACAAACTGAAAATAAAAACAAGTCAAAGATAGAAGCAAGAAAGAGCAATGTATAGTTGCCCTCTGGACATTTCTACCTAGAATGCATCTCTAAAAACCACTCAGACTGAATCCAATCCTGCATTTTTTTCTCCTGTATTGGTTAATAGTACCACAGTTCACAAGGTTGCCCAGTAATTTATGTGTTCCTAAGCTCTTTGCTCTCTGTAATCCTTTTACATTTAATTAATCATCAAATTTGATGGATTCCACCTTTTTAATGTTGCTTCAGACTTTCCCACTTACTCTGCTCTAGTTCAGGCCCTTCCTTGTTTTTCATCTGGACAATTGTAGTAGTCTCCTAACTGGTCTTTTTTCTATATTATAACCTCCCAACAGAGGTTTTCTTTTTTTTTCTTTTCTTTTTTTTTTTTTTAGACGGAGTCTTGCTCGATCGCCCAGGCTACAGTGCAGTGGCATGATCTCGGCTCACTGCAACCTCTGCCTCCTAGGTTCACGCCATTCTCCTGCCTCAGCCTTCCGAGTAGCCGGGACTACAGGCGCCCATCACTATGCTTGGCTAATTTTTTTTTGTATTTTTAGTAGAGACGGGGTTTCACTGTGTTAGGATGGTCTCGATCTCCTGACCTTGTGAACCGCCCGCCTCAGCCTCCCAAAGTGCTGGGATTACAAGTGTGAGCCACCATGCCTGGCCCAGAGTTGTGTTTTTTTTTGTTTGTTTGTTTGTTTTGAGACGGAGTCTTTGGTCTGTCACCCAGGCTGGAGTGCAGTGGCGCGATCTTGGCTCACTGCAAGCTCCGCCTCCTGGGCTCACGCCATTCTCCTGCCTCAGCCTCCCGAGTAGCTGGGACTACAGGCGCCCGCTACCACGCCCAGCTAATTTTTTGTATTTTTAGTAGAGACGGGGTTTCACCGTGTTAGCCAGGATGGTCTCGATCTCCTGACCTTGTGATCCGCCCGTCTCGGCCTCCCAAAGTGCTGGGATTACAGGCGTGAGCCACCGCGCCCAGCAAGAGTTTTTTTTTTTTTTTTATCAAAACACACATCTTAAGTTACTTTCCTACCGTAAAAATATATTTTGTTATTTACTATATATGTTCTTTATACTAGAATCTCTATATCTCTTCCTTTCCAGCCTCCTCTATTTATTTACTTATTTATTTATTTAGATAGCATCTCGCTCTGTCGCCAAGGCTGGAGTGCCATGGTGCAGTCTTGGCTCACTGCAGCCTTCGCCTCCCAGGCTCACAGTATCTTCCAGTCTTAGCCTGCAGAGTAGCTGGGACCGCAGGCGTGTGCTGCCACACCCAGCTGATTTTTATATTTTTTACAGAGACAGGGTTTTGAACTCCTAGGCTCAAGCTATCTGCCTATCTTAGCCTCCTGAAATGCTGGGACTACAGATGTGAGCCACCATGCCCAGCCTTATGTTTTATTTTTATTTTTTAATAGAGACAGGGTCACACTTTGTTGACCAGGGTGGTTTCAAACAGCAGACCTCAAAGAATCCCCCTGTCTTGGCCTCCCCAAAGTGCTGGGATTACAGGTATGAGCCACTGCACCCGGCCTCCTCTCTTTCAAAAAAACATTTATTGAGCTATAATATACATATAGTAGCCAGGTGTGGTGGCTCACGCCTGTAATTCCAGCACTTTGGGAGGTCGAGGAGGGTAGATCACAAGGTCAGGAATTTGAGACCAGCTTGGCCAATATAGTGAAACCCCGTCTCTACTAAAAATACAAAAAGCCGGGTGTGGTGGTACATGTCTGTAATCCCAGCTACTCCAGAGGCTGAGGCAGGAGAATTGCTTGAACCTGGGAGGCAGAGGTTGCAGTGAACCGAGATCACACCATTACACTCTGGCCTGAGTGACAGAGTGAGACTCTGTCTCAAAAAAAAAAAAAAAAAAAAAATATATATATATATATATATATGTATGTATGTATATATATACACACACACATACAGTAAAGTGCTTCAAGTACCCTAATCATAAGTTTTCTACTTGATGAATTTTAACGTATGTATGTTAAAATATATATTAAATAAAATATGTGTTAAATATATATTAAAATGTGTCTGTTAAAATATATATATTTATCTGTGTAACTATCCCCCAGATTAAGACATAGAACATTTCCACAACCCTAGAAAGCTCTTTCATGCTCCTTCCCCATCAGTACGCACCCCCAAGTTACATTCTGGCTTCTGTTACCATAGATTAATTTTGTTTATTACCATAGATTAGTTTTGAAGTTCTTATAAATGGACTCATGCAGTAGGTACTCTTGTGTCATAATGATGAATTATGATTCTGGTTTGCTCGTTATATCTATGAGATTCATCCATATTGTCTGTGGCAATAGTTTTTTTTCTTGCTGTGTAGCTTATGAATATACCACACAATCTATTCACCTGATGATGGACATTTGAGTTGTTTCCAGTTTGGGGCTATTATAAATAACACTGCTATGAATATTCCTGTGCATATCTTTGGCAGAGATATACACTCATTTTTAATACCCAAGAGTGGAATTGATGAGTCAGAGGGTATAAGTGTCCTCTCTTAGCACTTCCCTACACATGCTGTGTTCCTACTTTGAGTATCATAAAAACAGGTTTCCATTGACTTTCTTGCTTTATCCAGTCCTACCCGCTCTACTACAGAAATGAAGTTTGAGAGCTAGGAAATTGACATGTTCAAGGTTATAGACTGGGATTTCCCTAATTTCCCATCATTTTCCCCAAATAATTGCTAGTGACTCAGTAACAACATCCACTCTTTAAGTACCTTAGGTTAATTGTTAAAGAGTACAGCTAGATTTTAAAAAGTTCAGATTTTTGAAGCACTTAACCTTTTTCTTGCCTGTTTTACCTTGCATCGTCTCAAACACTACAAAATACATACTCATTGCATTTACAATTAATTGTAAGATTCTGAAAGTGATTTTTCAGTGCCTGAATACTTCAAAAAATCTTCCCAAAGCAGCTTTGCTTTGCTGGTTTGTTTTTGTTCTTTTGCTTGCTGCTGAATTTTTTCATTTTAACTATATTTTGCTATTGAGTTGTGATAATGAAAATAATTGTTTAAATTCTATGTTCTTTTTCCTCACCAATTTTTATTTCAGATGATACCATCTTCCAAAATCCTATGGTACAAGAAGCTATACGAATGGGGTTCAGTTTCAAGGACATTAAGAAAATAATGGAGGAAAAAATTCAGATATCTGGGAGCAACTATAAATCACTTGAGGTTCTGGTTGCAGATCTAGTGAATGCTCAGAAAGACAGTACGCAAGATGAGTCAAGTCAGACTTCATTACAGAAAGGTATGCATTGCTGTTTTTAAAAAGCAAGAAAGGGCCGGATGTGGTGGCTCACACCTGTAATCCCAGCACTTTGGGAGGCTGGGGATATGGACATTTTTTAAACATAACCTTAATGCTGTGTGTTAGTCTGCTCAAGCTGCTATAATAAAATTCCATTGACTAGGTGTCTTAAACAACAGACTTATTTCTGACAGTTTCGGAGGCTCCAAAATCAAGGTGCTGGCCGATTTCGTTATTGATGAGGGCCCTCTTCCTGCCTTGCAGATGGCTGCCTTCTCACTGTGTCCTCACATGGCATGGGTTGGGGGTGGATGGGACAAGATGGAGCAAGTACTCTGGTCTCTTTTCCTCTACTTTTAGGGACACTAATCCCATCATGGGGGTCACATCTTCATGACCTCATCCAAACTTAATTAGTTCCCAAAGGCCTCATTTCCAAATATCATTACATTAATCATGGAAAAAAGATTAAAAATATGAATTCTACCAGCCTGGGCAACATAATGAAACTGTCTCTACAAAAAATACAAAAATTAGCCGGGCATGGTGGTGTGTGCCAGTAGTCCCAGCTACCTGGGAAGCTGAGCGGGGAAGATCACCTGAGCCAGGGAGATCAAGGCTGCAGTGAGCCATGATCATGCCACTGCACTTCAGCCTGGGCAGCTGAGCGAGATCTTGTCTCAAAATATATATATATCTCCTTTAAGGATGATGGACACTATAGTGCTTGCCAACAACATCGAAGGTTAAAGAAGAGGTTTCACGGCCGGGCGCGGTGGCTCAAGCCTGTAATCCCAGCACTTTGGGAGGCCGAGACGGGCGGATCACAAGGTCAGGAGATCGAGACCATCCTGGCTAACACGGTGAAACCCCGTCTCTACTAAAAACACAAAAAATTAGCCGGGCGAGGTGGCGGCACCTGTGGTCCCAGCTACTCGGGAGGCTGAGGCAGGAGAATGGCGGGAACCCGGGAGGCGGAGCTTGCAGTGAGCTGAGATCTGGCCACTGCACTCCAGCCTGGGCGACAGAGTGAGACTCCGTCTCAAAAAAAAAAAAAAAAAAAAGAAGAGGTTTCAAACTGAGTACACTTTTGGGTACTATACCTGTAATACTTCTCTAAGCTCTTGACTATCCTCCCTCCAAAAAGATGAGAATTCTCCTACTGCTAATAAACTTAAACATTTACTTATTTTTGACACATTTAAAATCCTTGTGATCTTTAAGATATTTCAAGTGCTTTTGAAACATTATTCAGATAATTACTTAAGTTATGAAACAGTATGAACATTAATGATATTTAAAATTATATTCATTGATGTAAGAATCAATGGAAAGCTTCCAGTTTTTCCCTTATAGATGCATTTATTTAAAACTTACACAGGCTCCACTTATCTTGGTGGTGGTAAAATAAACCCTTTACTTGGTCATCTTTCTTTCTTTATTTTTTTTAAGACGGAGTCTCACTCTGTCGCCCAGGCTGGAGTGCAGTGGCACGATCTCAGCTCACTGCAACCTCTGCCTCCCCGGCTCAAGCAATTCTCCTGCCTCACCCTTCCGAGTAGCTGGAATTACAGGCATGCGCCACCACGCCCGGCTAATTTTTTGTATCTTTATTAGAGGCAGGGTTTCTCCCAGTTGGCCAGACTAGAATTTTTCTACTATAACAGAAATACAAGCAATTGTGTCATTTTTTTCCTGCATCTTAAACACGCGCTTAATTAAGTTTGGCCATAAGTTATTAGCTTTCAAACCTTAATGTGTCTGCAGCAGAAAGATTTAGCAGGTTGTAATAGGAAGAGATCAAGGGACTGTGCATTAGGGAGAGTGTCTTTTCTCTAACAGGAGTCAGTGGGCACTCGTATTATCACTGAGACTACAAACTAGGATGGTGTGGGAAGGAGAGCCTAAGGGTTGGAATTCATTTGAACTCTCCTCAGTCTCACTAAATTGAGAGGCAAGTAATTGATACAGGCTCTCTACTCATGCTGGGACCGCTGCCTGTTTGTCTTCCCAAAAGCTGATGAGGAAAGACTGGCACTAAGAATCTTTTAATTTTATATAAAGTAAGGATGGGGCTAACTGAAGTGAAGCAGGTGAAGGTTATTAGAGAAGATATAACATTGTCACTTACTGAGAAATCCTAGATTTAGTGCTGTCTTTTTTTCCCAATGGCTGTGTAACAGAGAATGCCCTAGTAAAATATCTTGTAAAAATAGTACCAAATCAGTATCTTTTTTTCTTTCTTTGAAAAAATTATGTAGTGTAAAATAAAGCCGTTTATTTAGTGTACGTACTAAAGTACTTATTTTAATCTTTATATATATTACTGTGTATAATATAAAAATCAAATAACCCATATTCATTTATCTGTCTTTCCACATGAGTCTGCTCTAATAGTAAAATGAATAACATCAGTTTATTCTAAAAGAGGCTTTAAATAATTACAAATATTAGCAAATAACATCAAAAGTTATCTAGCCTTTATTGCTCATGTGCCAGTAACCTTCTGACTTAGAAGAGGGCTTTGTGGGGAGGAGAAGGGGAAAGGCGCTGTAGGGAAGTATGTAGAATCCAGTAGTTACCTTTAAGCCAAGAGGGAAGTAATTGCCAGTGGTAAACTACTGGCCTGAGGGGAAAAGATCTATGCCCAGGATATCACCGTCTCAAGTTAGTGGCTTTATACAAGGATGAAATAATATAGAAAAAAAAATGAGATGATAGGGTATCACAAACAATCAGAACCAAAGGAACCTTAAAGATTATTTTACAACTTTTTTTTTTTTTGAGATGGAGTTTCACTCTTGTTGCCCAGGCTGGAATGCAGTGGTGCAATCTCAGCTCACTGCAACCTCCACCTCCCGGGTTCAAGCAATTCTCCTGCCTCAGCCTCCCGAGTAGCTGGGATTACAGGCATGTGCCACCACGGCCTGCTAATTTTGTATTTTTAGTAGAGATGGGGTTTATCCATGTTGGTGGACTAGTCTCCAACTTCCAACCTCAGGTGATCCTCCCGCCTCGGCCTCCTAAAGTGCTGGGATTACAGGCATGAACCACCACACCCAGCCCATTTTATAACTTTTATGAACTTAGTGGGGAACCTGAAGTACAGATGGGCTATTGCCTAGGATCATGCCAATAGCTGGGAATAGAACTCAGATTTCCTGACTTCTGGTCCAGTGTTTTGGGGTTTGTTTCAGTTTTTTTTTTTTTTTAGATTTTTAAAAATTGTGATAAAATACACATACAATTTACTATCTTAACCATTTAGGGTATGGTTCCATAGTGTTAAGTACATTTACATTGTTGCACAGTCAACCTCTAGAATTCTTCATCTTGCAAAACCAAAACTCTGCATCTATTAAACAGCCAGGCGTGGTGGTGCACGCCTGTAGTTCCAGCTGCTCGGGAGGCTGAGGCAAGAGGATTGCTTGAGACCAGAAGTTCAAGGCTGCAATGAGCTGTGATTGCACCATTGCTCTCCAGCCTAGGACACAGAGCAAGACCCCATCTTTAAATTAAAAAAAAATAATAATAATAATAAAAACATGTTCATTAAACAACTCCCCATTCCCTCTCTTCCCAGACCCTGGCAACTACCATTCTACTTTTTGTCTCTATAAATTTGACTACTCTAGGTGTCAGTATTGTTGGGTTTTTTTGTTTGTTTTTAACTCGTTGTAGCATTGCATCTAAAAGTCATGTGGAAATTACTTGTTCTCCTTTTGATTTTTTGGGCATGAAATATACACTTCATTCTGACTTTTTTTGGTGTCAATGCTTTCTTATAATATAAATCAGCTTATAGTGCCATTTCTTTACTTATATTTTTTCCTCTGCCTTGAGTACCTTTTCTCTGTCTGTATACCTAGTCCCATTCCCCACTCTATCCCCAACTCTCTGAATCTACTTTGTGAACTCATGTTTCAAGGTTCAGCTCAGAAGTCACTTCTTTCAAGTTTTCTCCCGCACCCACAGCAGAGTTAGGAGCTCCTTCTTATCTACTCCTGGTGCTGGTAGAGTTTTGTTTTGTTTTGTTTTGTTTTGTTTTGTTTTGTTTTTCTTGAGACAGGGTCTTGCTCTGTCGCCCAGGCTGGAGTGCAGTGGCATGATCTTGGCTCACTGCAACCTCCATCTCTCAGCTTCAAGCGATTCTCCTGCCTCAGGCTCCCAAGTAGCTGGGATTACAGGCATGCACCACCACACCCAGCTAATTTGTGTGTGCATTTTTAGTAGAGACGGGGTTTCACCATGTTGGCCAGGCTGGTCTTGAACTCCTGACCTCAAATGATCTGCCCACCTCAGCCTCCCAAAGTGCTAGGATTACAGGTGTGAGCCACCACACCTGGCTGAGCTTTTTGCTTTTTACACTATTTTGAAACTGGTTTCTGCCCTGCCCATTAGAACAGGCTTCTTGAGGGTTAAGTGCTTTATCTTCTTATCTCTGATGCATTCCATGGTTGAGCCTATAGTTTTTATTATGCCCAAGAGGGTACTTTTTAAGAAGAAAGAGATTAAACAATCCTTTCCTTTACCCCCTAGCCAGAGAAACCTTTCTGAAACATGGATGTGATCATATCTGTCTCTAGTTTAAAATCCTTCACTGGCTCCCAGGGCCCTTGGGATCAAGTCCAAACTCCTTTACGTGGCTTGCCTAATCTTTCATGATCAGGCACCCTTTTGTAGCCTCATCTCATGCTATTTTCTCAAATTCTGTGCCCAAGCTTTGCCTGTGCACTTGTAGGCCATGTTCTCTCTCCTTGGAGCTTGCTTATGCCATTTCCTTTGCCTAAAACACTTTTCTCCCATTGCCCTTATCCCCCAAGGCCTCCCTCTCCTAGTAAACTCCTAATTCATTCTTTAGTATCCAGTTTTAGATATAATTTCCTCCAGGAGGCCTTCGTTTATGCATGCATGGGCACACATGCACACACACCCTTCCTGTGCTCTTCATAACACATTGTAATTACCTTTGTCATCATACCATTTATACTTCCCTGTTTACTTGTCTATGAACGATTGGGGGCTTGAGGTTTATGTATTTGTTAATTGTATCCCTAGTAGAACCTAGTTAAGTGTCCAGTAAGTATTTCTTGAATAAACTATTGTTTTCCAAACATGTTTTCAGTATAGTGTTCAACAGGATATTAAAAGGATGCCATGAAAAAGGAACCCCATAGTTAAACAGGGGAATGTGTTGTACATTTCTAAGAGGGAATATAGACTATACTGTCCTATATTGTACTGTACTGCCCTGTCATGGATGACAGTGGTTCTCAAATGCCGGTGTGCCCAACCCCAGAAATTTTAGGTTCTGTGAATGGAGCCCAGAAATCTGTTGTTTGAAAATGCCCCAGGTTATTCTCATGTGAGGCCGTATTTGGAAACTGCTGGTACATAATGATTATAAAGATGCTAAAATAAACAAATAGTTGTGGTTATAAAGATATAGTTAAAATATGTAATGCATTTGGAATAGTGCCTAGCACATACTATTTATGCAATATTACTGTTAACTGCTGCTGCTGTTGTCATTATTGTTATATGTGACCATGAAACACATTTTTTTTGTGGCGTATGTATTCACATTTCACAAAACTATTTTGGGAAAGGCTGAATTAAGCAAGTACTTCAGTGCCACCTATATGCTGATGACATCCAGATCTCTATCTCTAGCCCTGACTTCTCCTGACCTCAAGATTTGACTCTTCAGTTACCTACTGGGTATTTTTATATGGGTGTCCTGAAAACACCTAAAAAATATCTGAAGATCCCAAACCTGTACCTCCTTTTATATTTCTTATTGGCATCACCATATCCTTGTCAGCCAAGCTAGCAATCTTGAAATCAACTTTAGTTTGTCTTTCTTCTTCAGCCCTCATATCCAGTCAGTCACCCAGTCCTACTTGTCCCACTTCAGAGGTGTCCCTCAAATCCATCCCTCTATTTCTGGAATTAGTTGTGACCTTTCCATATGCTGCTCCTTTTACCTAACCCTTGTTTTTCTGCCTGGCAAATTACTGCCCATGCTTAAATGTCACTCCTCCGCTTCCCTCCTCCCCCGATCCAGCCACTGCCAACCTGTGGAGCCTTCTCCAACTAGCCTGAGCAGAAGAACTTGTTTTCTCATCTTGTTCCAGAGCACTTTGTACATAACTTTATTACAGCACTTATCACTTTGTACTTTGTGCTTAACCTCCATAGCCTCATCTTACATCCTCTCCCACTAGCCTGTGAGCTATTTAAGAGCAGATGCCATGTGTGAGTCATCCTCATATCTCCTGGCACTTGTTGGGTGCCTGGCACGTAGTAGGGGTTCAATAAATATTTTCAATGAATGTAAACAACTAAGAAAGTCTAAAACTAGCATAATTCTTTTCTCTTTTTGCAGAGATTAGTACTGAAGAGCAGCTAAGGCGCCTGCAAGAGGAGAAGCTTTGCAAAATCTGTATGGATAGAAATATTGCTATCGTTTTTGTTCCTTGTGGACATCTAGTCACTTGTAAACAATGTGCTGAAGCAGTTGACAAGTGTCCCATGTGCTACACAGTCATTACTTTCAAGCAAAAAATTTTTATGTCTTAATCTAACTCTGTAGTAGGGATGTTATGTTCTTCTTATTACCCTGATTGAATGTGTGATGTGAACTGACTTTTAAGTAATCAGGATTGAATTCCATTAGCATTTGCTACCAAGTAGAAAAAAAATGTACATGGCAGTGTTTTAGTTGGCAATATAATCTTTGAATTTCTGGATTTTTCAGGCTATTAGCTGTATTATTTATCCAACTTTTTTTACTGTTATCTAATTGAAACCCTAGACTAAGAAGCATCATATTATAACTGAACACAATGTGTATTCATCATATACTGACTTAATTTCTAAGTGTAAGTGAATTAATCATCTGGATTTTTTATTCTTTTCAGATAGGCTTAACAAATGGAGCTTTCTGTATATAAATGTGGAGATTAATCTCCCCAATCACATAATTTGTTTTGTGTGAAAAAGGAATAATTGTTCCATGCTGGTGGAAAGATAGAGATTATTTTTAGAGGTTGGTTGTTGTGTGTTAGGATTCTGTCCATTTTCTTTTAAAATTATAAACACGTACTTGTGCGAATAATTTTTTAAAAGTGATTTGCCATTTTTGAAAGGGTATTTAATGATAGAATACTATCAAGCCAAGATGTACTGACATGGAAAGATGTGAAAGATATATTAAGTGTAAAATGCAAGTGGCAAAACACTATGTATAGTCTGAGGCAATCAAAGTATGTATGTTTCTTATATGTATAGAACAAAAGATTTGGAAAGATAGACACCAAACTGTTAAATGTGGTTTCTCTTTGGGGGGGTTGGGGAAGGGGCCTCAGAGGGGTTTTATAGGGGCCTTTTACTTTCTATTTTTTTCATTTTGTTCTGTTTGAATTTTTTATAAGTATGTATTACTTTTGTAATCAGAATTTTTAGAAAGTATTTTACTGATTTAAAGGCTTAGGCATGTTCAAACGCCTGCAAAAGTACTTATCACTCAGCTTTAGTTTTTCTAATCCAAGAAGGCAGGGCAGTTAACCTTTTTGGTGCCAATGTGAAATGTAAATGGTTTTATGTTTTTCCTGCTTTGTGGATGAAAAATATTTCTGAGTGGTAGGTTTTTGACAGGTAGACCATGTCTTCTTATCTTGTTTCAAAATAAGTATTTCTGATTTTGTAAAATGAAATATAAAATATGTCTCAGATCTTCCAATTAATTAGTAAGGATTCATCCTTAATCCTTGCTAGTTTAAGCCTGCCTAAGTCACTTTACTAAAAGATCTTTGTTAACTCAGTATTTTAAACATCTGTCAGCTTATGTAGGTAAAAGTAGAAGTATGTTTGTACACTGCTTGTAGTTATAGTGACAGCTTTCCATGTTGAGATTCTCATATCATCTTGTATCTTAAAGTTTCATGTGAGTTTTTACCGTTAGGATGATTAAGATGTATATAGGATGAAATGTTAAATCCTCTGCCTACATTTGTGTTCTTGACTAGTAATAGTAGTAGATACTTCTGAAATCAATGTTCTCTCAACATCCTTAAAACCTCTTGGAAATTATAAAAATATTGGCAAGAAAAGAATAGTTGTTTAAATATTTTTTGAAAAACACTTGAATAAGAATCAATAGGACATAAACTAGAAGTTTAAAAATGCTTCATAGGACGTCCAGGGTTTACATTATAAGATTCTCACAACAAACCTATTGTAGAGGTGAGTAAGGCATGTTACTACATAGAGAAAAGTTTGAGAGTAAAACTGTAAAAAATTATATTTTTGTTGTACTTTCTAAGAGAAAGAGTACTGTTATGTTCTCCTAACTTCTGTTGATTACTACTTTAAGTGATATTCATTTAAAACATTGCAAATTTATTTTATTTATTTAATTTTCTTTTTGAGATGGAGTCTTGCTTGTCACCCAGGCTGGAGTGCAGTGGCATGATCTCTGCTCACTGCAACCTCCCCCTCCTGGGTTCAAGCGATTCTCCTGCCTCAGCTTCCTGAGTAGCTGGGATTACAGGCGAGTGCCACCATACCCGACTAATTTTTGTATTTTTAGTAGAGACAGGGTTTCACCATGTTGGCCAGGCTGGTCTCAAACTCCTGACCTCAAGAGATCCGCCCACCTTGCCCTCCCAAAGTGCTGGGATTACAGGCTTGAGCCACCACACCCAGCCAAAGCATTGCAAATTTAAATGAGAGTTTTAAAAATTAAATAATGACTGCCCTGTTCCTGTTTTAGTATGTAAATCCTCAGTTCTTCACCTTTGCACTGTCTGCCACTTAGTCTGGTTATATAGTCATTAACATGAATTTGATCTGTATAGTCTAGACTATAAGTTTAAATTTAAAGTGTTCTACAAGGGGAGAAAAGTGTTAACATTTTTAAAATATGTTTTCCGGGACACTTTAGCTCCAAGTCAGGTAGGTAGTTCAGTCTAGTTGTTAGCCAAGGACTCAAGGACTGAATTGTTTTAACATAAGGCCTTTCCTGTTCTGGGAGCCACACTTCATTAAAATTCTTCTTCTAAAGCTTGTATGTTTAGAGTTAAGCAAGACTTTTTTTTCTTCCTCTCCATGAGTTGTGAAATTTAATGCACAACGCTGATGTGGCTAACAAGTTTATTTTAAGAATTGTTTAGAAATGCTGTTGCTTCAGGTTCTTAAAATCACTCAGCACTCCAACTTCTAATCAAATTTTTGGAGACTTACCAGCATTTGTCTGTGTTTGAACTATAAAAAGCACTGGATCTTTTCCATCTAATTCTGCAAAAATTGATCATTTGCAAAGTGAAAACTATAGCCGTATCCAAATCTTTTCCCCCTCCCAAGAGTTCTCCGTGTCTACATGTAGACATTCCATTTCTGTGTAAAGTTCACTCTAGGATTTCAAGTCACCACTTATTTTACATATTAGTCATGCAAAGATTCAAGTTGTTGTGTAATAAGTACTTATCTTTATTTGTAATAATTTAGTCTGCTGATCAAAAGCATTGTCTTAATTTTTGAGAAATGCTTTTAGCATTTACAAACTAAATTCCAGTTAATTAATTAATGGCTTTATATTGCCTTTCCTGCTACATTTGATTTTTTCCCCTATCCCTTTGATTATGTAGGGTAGAGTGGGTGTAGTGAGTGTATATAATGTGATTTGGCCCTGTGTATTATGATATTTTGTTATTTTTGTTGTTATGTTATTTACATTTCAGTAGTTGTTTCTTCCGTTTCCATTTTAGTGGATAAAATTTGTATTTTGAACTATGAATGGAGACTGTCACCCCAGCATTAGTTTCACATGATATACCCTTTAAACCCGAATCATTGTTTTATTTCCTGATTACGCAGGTGTTGAATGGGGAAAGGGTCTAAGGAGGTGGGAGAAATGGGATAGTATATCGTTGAGATATACTATGGGATGTATATCGTTGCCATTAGAGAAATAAGAAAATGGGAAGCAGTATTTGACATAGTTCTTTTTAGACAAATCTACTTGTTAAAAAAAGGATAGCAGTTTATTCATCTGTGAAAGGAGAATAATACCTATCTTACCAGGTTGCAAGAGCTCAAGGAGACCATGTATGTAAAGTTCCTGCTGTAAATATGAACTCCCATCCTAACACCCTTTTACCTCTCTGTGGGTTTGTCTTGACCTGGAAACTTGGGCTAAAACTTAGAAAAAAAATTGTACATGGTAACTCTTTCAGTGATGTTTACTCGTATTTTTTGGTGTTTCTCATAGTTAAGATATAAATTGGCCGGGCGCGGTGGCTCACTCCTGTAATCCCAGCACTTTGGGAGGCCAAGGCGGGCGGATCACCTGAGGTCGGGAGATTGAGACCAGCCTGACCAACATGGAGAAACCCCGTCTCTACTAAAAATACAGAATGAGCTGCACGTGGTGGCTCATGCCCTTAATCCCAACTACTGGGGAGGCTGAGGCAGGAGAATCGCTTGAACCCAGGAGGCGGAGGTTGTGGTGAGCCAGGATCGCGCCATTGCACTCCAGCCTGGGCAACAAGAGTGAATCTCCATCTCAAAAAAAAAAAAAAAAAAGATATAAATCACAATAAATAAATAGGTCAATACAAATGTTAGCTAGGTGTGGTGGCACATGCCTATAGTCTCAGCTACTCTGGAGGCAGAGGCAGGAGGATCACTTGAGCCCATGAGTTTGAGGCAGGAGTGAGTTATGATTGTGCCACTGTACTCCATTCTGGGTGACAGAGTGAGACCCCATCTCTAAATAAATAGATCAAACCCCTAAAAATACTTAAATTCTTCTTAAAAAATTGAAAAGATTGTTCTTCTCAAATTTAGTTGAACTTTCTAAGAGAAACAATTGGCTTTTTCCCACTTTAATAATCATTTTCAGTTTGACTCATACAGTTAATACAATGTGAATTTCTTCCTCAGCATAACAGAATTATAGAATGACAGAGCTGGAAGTGACCTTAGAGAGTACCCAATTCTTCTCTTTCATTTTACAGGTGAGGCAACGGAGGCTCAAAGGCGATGTAATTTGTGCAAAGATTATAGCTAATTAGTAGCAGAGCCCTGACTGGGACATAGTTTGAAGATTAAAAACTTCACCAAGCTACCTTTCTTGGAGGGTCCAAATGTTTATTTTTTCAACTATTCTTTCCACTATACCATAACTTTCACTACATATTAAGTGACACTTTATAACTAGTATAATAGGACAATCATCAATGCATATATAGCCAGCCCTTCATATTTGCGGATTTTGCATCCATGGATTCAACCAAGGAGGAATTGAAAATACTGAGGGAAAAAATAAATAAATACAAAAATACAAAATAATACAAAGAAAAAGCCAAAATTGTTATACTGTTGTTAAGCAGCAGTATAACAACTATTTACATAGCATTAAGTTTGGTGTAAAAATGCAAAAAAATGCAATTATTTTTAAACCAACCTAATATATTGTATTAGATATTAAAGTCATATAGAGATGACTTAAAGTATATGATGGCCAGCCTGGGCAAACGGCAAAACCCTGTCTCTACAAAAAATACAAAGATTAGCTGGACGTGGTGGTGTGTGCCTGTAGTCCCGGCTACTCCGGAGGCTGAGGTGGGAGTCGCTTGAGTCTGGGAGGCAGAGGCTGCATTGAGCTATGATCATGGCACTGCACTCCAGCCTGGGTGACAGTGCGAGATCTTGTCTCAGAATAAATAAAGTATGTGATGAAGATGTGCATACGTTATATGCAAATAATTTTTTTTTATTATTTATTTAAACAGTCTCACTCTGTTGCCCAGGGTGGAGTGCAATGGGGCTCACCGCAACCTCTGCCTCCCAAGCAGCTGGGACTATAGGCGTGCTCCATGGTGCCCAGCTAATTTTTTTTGTATTCTTAGTAGAGACAGGGTTTCACCATCTCGGCCAGGCTAGTCTTGAACTTCTTTTTTTTTTTTTTTTTTTTTTTTTTTGAGACGGAGTCTCGCTTTGTTGCCCAGGCTGGAGTGCAGTGGCCGGATCTCAGCTCACTGCAAGCTCCGCCTCCCGGGTTTACGCCATTCTCCTGCCTCAGCCTCCCGAGTAGCTGGGACTACAGGCGCCCACCACCTCGCCCGGCTAGTTTTTTGTATTTTTTTTAGTAGAGACGGGGTTTCACCATATTAGCCAGGATGGTCTCGATCTCCTGACCTCGTGATCCGCCCGTCTCGGCCTCCCAAAGTGCTGGGATTACAGGCTTGAGCCACCGCGCCCGGCCTAGTCTTGAACTTCTGACCTCAAGTGATCTGCCTCCCAAAGTGCTGGGATTACAGGCATGAGCCCGGCTTTTTTTTTTTTTTTTTTTTTTTTTTGGAGACAAGTCTCCCTCACCCAGGCTGGAGTGCAGTGGCGCCATCTCGGCTTACTGCAGCCTCCGCCTTCTGGGTTTAAGCAATTCTCAGGCCTCAGCCACCCGAATAGCTGGAATTACAGGCGCCCGGCACCACACCCGGCTAATTTTTATATTTTTCAGTAGAGACTAGTTTCGTGGTGTTGGCCAGGCTGGTCTCGAACTCCTGATCTCAGGTGATCTGCCTGCCTTGGCCTCACAAAGTGCTGGGATTACAGGCGTGAACCACTGCGCCCGGCCTTGTGTGATTTTATCTAAGGAACTTAAGCATCCTCAGGTCCTAGGGGATCGTGAAACCAAAACCCCATGGATAGCAAGGGACAATTGTATTTTCAAATTAGACAAATGACGTCGGGCACGGTGGCTCACGCCTGTAATTCCAGCACTTTTGGATGCTGAGGCATGCAGATCACCTGAGGTCAGGAGTTGGAGACCAGCCTGGCCAACATGCTGAAACCCTGTCTACAAAAATACAAAAATAGCTGGGCGTGGTGCGCATGCCTGTAGTCCTAGCTGCTTGAGCGACTGAGGCAGGAGAATCGCTTGAACCTGGGAGGCGGAGGCTGCAGTGAGCCAACAGGGTGCCACCGCACTCCAGCCTGGGTGAGTGAGACTCAGTGTTAAAAACAAAACAGACATTAGACAAATGCTACATTAATGTTTGGGTGATCAGATTCTACTTTGAAGTCTGAAGTTAGCAGATATGCCTATAGATTTTTGGAGTTTACCACTTTCTTATTCTGTATCATTAATGGGATTTTTTTTTTGTTTTGCTTTTTGTTTTTTGTCTTTAAGACGGAGTCTTGCTCTGTCGCCCAGGCTGGAGTGCAGTGGCTCGATCTCCGCTCACTGCAAGCTCCGCCTCCCGGGATCACTCACGCCATTCTCCTTTCTCAGCCTCC